GAGAGCGGCGCTGGGGATGCAGCTCGTCTTGGTTTCGCTGTTGAGAGAAAAGGAAAGGCTCATCTCGGGAGGCTTGGAGATTTGCTGGTAAAGAGGCTGATGGAAAGGGAGGGGCTGCCCGCCTTCCACCTGTCCCTGGTTGCTCCAGGAGCTCTGCTGAGGCTGCTCCTGTGCACCAGGGACAGCAGCAGTCACTGTCATGCTGGTAGCCAGGCAAAGGAGGTGCCTGTCCTGCAGAACTTCCATAGATCCGTAACTTTTAAAAAGTGACGCGATGAAGGAAACTTTATTCCCAGTTGTTTTCACTCTACAGGTGAATTAGGCGGGTGAGGAGGAGCTGGGGCGATGGATCTGAACCTCTCTGCTTGCTTCCCCACAGGACCTGTTTGCACTGGGCCTGTAAGCGGAACCACGCTGCCGTCGTGTCCTGCCTGCTGGCTGCGGGCGCCGATAGGCAGATTCTCACCGCGAACGGAGAGCTGCCTGCAGAGCTAACGTCGAAACCAGACATCCGGAAGATTTTGGGAGGTACCGTTCCCATCTTAACAGTCGTCTGTTTATTATCGGAGGGGGTAGATTGCAAAACTTTGACTAGGACTATGGAATCTCACTAGATAGCTCGGATTTGTAACTGTAATTCGTGCTCAGGCAAGTAGACTTGGGGATTGCAGGTAGGATGGCCTTTTGTTCCGAGCTGTGTTATCAAGAGGTTGAAAGGTGTACTTCGGGAAATGTGCTGCTGCAGTCCTGTTTGCTCTCATCAAGCAGAAGCGAGCGTGCAGGCTGCAAGTGGAGGCTTTCACAGTTGTACAATTTGACTGTTGTCTGACCATAAGAAATCTTACAAATCCACTGAAAACAAACCGCAGCATTTCAGAAGTTAGGCCTTCTGAGCATTTTGTTGTACTGTGACTTGCATCACAGTATGATTATTGCCCCATAATTCTGTCATCTTACACTTTTCATATGCACAGCAAACCTAGTTAGATGTATGTGACACTCCTGAACGCTGCCAGTGCCTGTTTCCATCAGCATCTAGGTACTGTGCTTCAGATTAAAATGTTCAAATGCTTCACCTTTGGAAATGTTATCCTATCTTCTGTTAATTGCACTTAAATTGCTCTCTACAATGACATGCTCTTACATCAACACTGCATGGTTATCTTAAATGAAGTTGCAGCTAAATCATGACTAAGGTTACAACAGTCTCAACTGCAGGAATAATGGCATACTCTTTGCATGAGCACTTTTTTTTTCTTTCGGACAAGGTGCTCAGCTCTTGGACTTAGTCCATGGCAAATGACTTGCGTTCTGTTTTTAAGATCTAAACTGTCAAGTGTGTGTGAACGAACGCTGCTCATAGTTACTTTATTTTTCTGTCTGTTAAGCTTTCACGTGTTTCCTGGGCAACAAACACACAACACTTATTTTCTCCTAAATGGTCTGTTCTGGGAGTGTAGTGCTGTTGAGCAGATCTTTCTGAACGGTTTTGACATTAGTATTAATGTCCCATAATCCTCAGTCAGGCAAGAATGTAATTTCCTGCAGTACTTTTCAGCAAGAGAAGAGTTGGCTTGGGTATTATATCAAATAGTCACTTACCTGAAGACATATTTGGTTTAATTTGTTGGCATGGGTCATAATAAACTATTTACAGCAGTGTTATTAAAAGCATTGTAGACTGAGATTTAGCAAAGAACTACTGGTCATACAGTTCCTTTGAAAACACTGGAATAACACTGCTAGAAATGACATATCTTTCAACGGTTCTTTTTTGCCCACTTTGCTTTTAAAAAACACAGAACACTGTAGGAATTTGTAGATTTTTCTGTCATTTTACAGCTACTTGCCTTACAGTTGTTACATGCTTATGATACATGAATGTCATGCTTTGATTACCTCAGAATGTGATGTAGTTTTAGGACACAACAGGGAAACTAACTGTATTAAAAATGAGAAAGATCTATCCAGTAATGTAGTGGCATTTTTTCTCTCTCTACCCCCCATTTTTGAACTTCATTAACAGAGGAAGAAACTGAATGTCAAGGAGTGAAGGATTTAAATTTGCCAGTTGTTGCAAACTACTTGGCAAACCCACCATTCCCGTATGCTCACACTGAAGCAAGCATTCCAGACAGCTTGGCAGAATCCCAGGATGAAAGTGCTTCCACCTCTTCTGCTTCCCAGTGTGAAACCAGTCCTTGTTCATCAGCAACTCAGGTGGAGAGCGTATGCACACCCACATCGTGCAACAGTGAAGATGATTTTCCTGCACGAGATGCTGCAGAACAGCTGCCCGCCCCGCCAGCAACTGTCGCAGCACCAAAATGGATGGAGCCTGAAGCACAGAACAGCCCCGCTTGCCCGCCGGCCTTGTCTCACAGCAGAGGGCTGTGCTCTCCGGTAGCACCCCAACAGGCTGCACCTCTGCAAACTGACAGTTCGCCTACTGGTCCCGCACCAGCGTTTCAGCCCTTTTTCTTTACTGGAACTTTCCCATATAACATGCAAGGTAATGAAGTTTCCCATCCTTTTGTTATATTCTGTGACACATTTCTGTTACTGGGTGAAAGATAAAGAATCATTCCGCTTTCAGCCTCGTGTGCAGTAGAGGCAGAGATGTTGCATTCTTTGGTCAAAAGTACCCAGAACTTGTTTTCTGCTCTGCTAAGTAAATAACTGTTATACTGTATTATAAACATGGTAATACTTTGTAAACCGATCCGTCCAAGCAACATAAAGACTCATATTTAGCAATATATTATATAGCATGAAATGCGTCTCTGGTAGTCTGCTAACAACTTGACTGTGTGACTGGATGGATCAGATTTTTAACATTGTGTATTTCTTGCTGTTGAAATGGAAGCTTCCATTACCTGCACAGTATTTCTCAGTGAGATAATAGGCATTGAATTATAAAACCTGAATGTGGAAGATACTAGTAAATACTTTAGTGTTTGGGTTGGATTTTTTTTTGAGGAAAAAAAACCTTCCAATCTTTTTTTCAATCAGAACTTGTGCTTAAGGTGAGAGTCCAGAATCTCAGAGACAACGACTTCATTGAAATTGAACTGGACAGACAAGAACTGACCTATCAAGATCTGCTCAGAGTGAGTTGCTGTGAATTGGGCGTTAATCCAGAGCAAGTGGAGAAGATCAGAAAATTACCTAATACACTAGTAAGAAAGGTAAGAATTTAAATTGGAGATTAATTTGACTTTGCAGACATCAGAGAAGGTATTTCTGTAAAAAAAAAAATCAGTAAAACATGGATAGCCTTGTGTTAAAAAACAAAAACTGACTTAAGCTTACAAATTGAAAAGGGTATTGGACTGTCCTTAAAACTTCATCTGACTTCCTTTAAAATATTCTTGTCAAAGCAGGCAGAGTATTTCAGCTCCTAAAGCGCATGAAACTATTACAGCTTGACTTTTTTTCCAGACGTATCCGAAACAGTGCATTAGTGTGCTTTTAACATAATTGCCATGTACTGCTTCACTGTTTGCTTGCCTAAAAAGAAAAAATAATACTGGGGAAAAAAAACCCACAAATTGGCATGTGAATAATTTAAAGATATGCCATTAACAAATGAACATGCTCTTCTGTTCCAAAAATACCTACTCTGGAGGGCTGTAAATGAAATGCATTTGGTCACAACTCTCAGTTAAGTGACATGCACAAACAGTCAAATCATAATGAGGTTCAAGGAGAAAAAAACACTTTTTTTTTGAGTGTACACTGGTAAGATATTTTCTTTCATTATTTATTCCTACCATTGGGTGTGACCTCCCTGGAATTCTAGTTTTTACTTCCTTTAGCTATTATTATAAAAATTCACAAAGACCAGACATGTTTAGAAGTAATGCGTACTTCTGTCTGTTCTTTAAAAGGACAAGGATGTTGCCAGACTTCAGGACTTCCAAGAGCTGGAGTTAGTGCTTGTGAAAAGCGACAGCTCTCCTTTCAGAAATGCTGCATCATCGACGGAGAGACCATGCTACAACAGTAGAGCATCAAAGCTGACTTACTGACTCTTCTAGATGTATCTAGAGTATGAAAACCTGGTAATTATAAGCTGCTGTCTTTTGAAGGCAGTGAATTAAGTTATATAACCTTAAGTTATTGTTAGGGTTACTATTTTAACTAATAGTTTATATTTTATATTTAATATCCCCTTTGCTTTTATTTTTTTACTTGATGCTGTATTCAGATAAGGGATACCTCATTTATCTACTAAAATCACATGCTTCCAATGGCTTTCAATGAAGTTTATTGGTTGTACTTGGCAACAGAGGGCAGGAAAGATTTAATTATTTATATGAAAAGTATGTTGAGTGCTCCCACTCTTTGACCAAGTAAGAGTCATAGAAAAGAGATTCAGGAAATTGTATGTGTGTATGTATGTATAGATATTTTTTATACTTCCTGATTAAGTTAAATGTTGGAGAATATTTTGCGTTCAAGGTACAGTTCTCTAAAAAGGTAGAAGTTGCAAGTCCTTAATTTCTTGCCCCTTCATAAAGACTTGCCAAGATGGGGTTAGAAATATTTAATGCTCTGAAGTGACAGGAGAAAAACTTTCACTGGGCTGAAAAAAAGTTTGTTTCCCATATGAGAATATTGTAACTTAAGTGATGGCATCCCTCCATCTCCACAAAAAAAAAATAATATGGAAGCCTCTCTTAATTAAGAAGCATTGAAGTCACAAAACAAGTTAAAGTGCCCATTCAAAAGCCCTTAGGTTTCAGGAGTTGGGGAGGGGATCACAAAGCTGTGTCCATTGATTTATTTATTTTCCTAATTCTGTGAGGAGACTATGCATTACTCACACCAAAAGCCAGTAGTGTTAAGCCAGGTGACTTCTGTATGGCCTACCCGCCCAACAGTGCTTTCAACTGAATTTTTCTGGGGAAAAAAAAACAGACACTGGTTAAGCTATAGGCTGTTTAACTTGCATTTAGGCAAGTCAGTAATGAAAAGATCCATCTGTGGTTTTCTGAATGGCAAAAGTCATTAAAACACCTTGAAGTCACTCCCTTTCAGTCCAAAGTATTTAAGGTGCAGTGTTCCTGGAATATTAGCAGCCTGAAGCTTTTCCTGTTAATGTGGCAGTCTACAAAGTTACACCTTGGGAGCTTTTGGTTTCTTTTGTACCAAAAAACTATGATAATGACCTTTGCACCAAAAACCTTAATTGGGTACTGGGGTAGGTGGAGGGGTAAGGAGTTTTTTTCTGGCCATGAGCTTTTTTTTTTTTTCCTTCCACCCTCTCTGCCAGTAGTATTGATTTTCCTTCCATGAAGCTGCATCAGAGCAGAGTTTACGCGCAGCTGATGCAGTGTTTGTTGTTGTTGATCTGGATTGTAAATGTTGACGTTCAGACCATAAATAGCACAATCAACATGTTTTGGTAGGAGCAGCATGGCTGCCTCCCTGTCCTAGCTTCCTGCAGCACAGCTGCATTATCCTTGAAGTTGCTCCTCCAAGTGAGGTTAGGAAGAGCATGCATGTCAGGAAAACACAGCAACCCCTTCTGCCAGCAGGGGTGACGCTTGACTCTGGATTCAGGATTTCACCAAGTTACTCTAGGCTTAAAATTCTTGCTTAGTACATCCAAAATAATTATCACCGTCTCCCACTTACGCTATGTCTATTTTATCACTTCAACTCCACCAACTCACCATTCTCCATCCTGGCCCTTCTTTCTCCAGGAATCAGGCTAATTAAAGCCTGAATCAACTCCTGGTAAGCTCAAAACTATGACACAGCATGAAGTAAAATTTCCTAACTACGGCTCCTGCTTTGTTTTTATTGTAGGACAGGAACAGAGTTTTTATTTTAATAATTGTGTATTTTATCTTCTCAGCATAGCTCGGAGGCTAGTTCAGATTATGTGCAATAACTGTTTGAAAAACAGTATTAGTTAAATGGCTCAAAATTAAGAGTATCTAATTTCTCTTGTTTAAGAAATCAGTGTAGAGACAGTCTCCACTAATTACTGAACATTGAGCTACAGGAGCAGCTGGTTTAAAAAAAGCTTTATCTGCTCTAGCTTCCACAATGAATAATTGTTAATGTGATAAGACTAAAACTTTAATCATGATCTACCTGTAATAATAACAGTAAGTCTATGCATTCAGAGAAATATTTTTGTATGTTTTATGCAGTTTGATAAACTCTAAGGCACACTAGTTACGTTAACTGTTTTTTGTTGGGTTTTTTTCTTTGAACAATAAACTGTTGGTATGACAACTGAAACTAAGTTTACAAAACTTACTGTTCTTCCAAGGACAACTTTTGTTTGCACTACAAACTTGTACTGAACTGTCATTGCTACTCTCACGTATATTAAAGTATCAGTTGTTTCAAGTACCTAGATCTCTTCCTTATTGTGGGGTAGGGAGGATGGTGTGTGTGGGGGTGATAGGTGGCACTGCAGCATGGATAGGACCCTCTTAGAATTCTAAAATTTGAAAAAATCACAGGCCAGTACATTTTTATCACCTAATAAAAAGTCTCAGGCTGCCAAAACTATTATGGAGAAAACATGTAGGAAGTGCTTACTTAACTGAGCTACTTGCTTTTTGCACAGCATTTCTAGAAAATCTGAGTCTATATTATCTTGGGCTCGAGCTCTGAAGATGACACTTTTCACAGATTAATCTGTTGGGGAGACGCTCCTTACAGTCAAATCTGAAGGGAGTTACAAGAAAGGCACCGTGTTTCCTGTGCTCTGAAAGATACAGAATTTTTCCTTCATCTTCAATGCTCTAGAGAGACTCACTCCACTATCAGACATTTCATGATCTGAATCCCAGCCCAATTTACTACAAGTTACCTCATTTTATTTATACCTGTGCAAAATAAGGAAAGGAAAATGCTAGTCCTGTAACAAATACATGCAATGGAACATGCACCCAGTCTCAAACCTGATACACCATATGGGTGCCTGCTTTAGGAAGCTAAAAGTCAGAGGAAAGAAACACATCTGTCTGCATGTGGTATCCCTCCTTTTAAAAAAAACCAGCACTCCCTTCCACCAGTGGGACCAACATGCAGGTCCTTCTGTAACTGCACTTCCACAAACAGACAAGGCACAAGCAAGTCACAACAGTGCTTTGTCCATGTCTGACTTCAGTTACATGTATAGTCAAGTCCTGAATACTAATACAAAGGATAATGCTTTTTAAAAATCCAAATTCTATGCCTTACAGCCAGCACTGAAGTCACTACTGCTGACCAGTACACATTGCAGTGCGTTTCCAACAGGAACTACGTTTCCTTGCACTACAGCTTCACAAGAAAGTCTCTTCCCTTCTATGTGGTGTCACGCAGACTGTGCATGTTTACCAGCTGCACACAGTTGTTAATTAACATTACAAACTGATACTACAACACAAAGATAAGGGCAGTCTGATGGCCAGTCTCGGCAGTGGCATTTTTATTATAATGTTGTAAAAGTCTAACTGCTTTATCAAGGCTTAAGGCATCCATTTTGGTGTGAGATTTCTAGAATTTCTTAACCAACTGCAGCACAAGCTGCACTTTTCAGGGGACACAGAATCCAACAGCCGTTTAACTGCTGAAAAAGTAAGCTTGAAATGAAATACTAACTGATGGCACCGAAAAACCCCAAACCCACAAAAACCACAGAATAACTAAGCATCCAAATTAATGGACTAAGCTTGAAGACAGGAGTAAATTTATTAGGAAAGAAACTTAAATGTTCAATGACAGAGACAATCAAATTTGTAACAGAAATTCAAAGATACTTTATTTCCATTTCTTGTATATCAAGAAGCTAGGAATAGCTTAGTTGTAAAAATGGGATTCATTTTAGTTCGATTCACACAAATACTAAACATTTATTCTTGTGTTTTAAAGTCCAAGAATGAAAACTTGCAATTAAACACTGAGCAAGCCATGTGTTCAGGTTATGTTGCTTTCTTATCTTAAAAAGTCTTAAAGAAAAAAAAAAAAGGATACAGGACTTATATTCTCAGTAGCATATGTGCTATTATCAACACATCTTTCTGAACTCTGGGAGGAAACACCAGTCCTGAATTAAATGTTATTAAAAAAAAAAATTCTAACTCAACTTTATATTTTTCTACGGCACTACAGCTTTCTTTCACCTCATTTTAAAGCAGATCTTCAGTTTCAGCTGTCTTCCGCTGTCTTCGCAGACTCTTCATGTAGTAGTCCTATAATGCAAAATTTTGGGAAAACAGACAATTAGACAGCATTAAGAGCATTCCGTTTACCATTCCTATATATTGGCCCAGTTGTTAGCTGTGATCTTAACTCTACAAAAATGTCAACATTGAACACAACTGGCTTTAGAAGCAATAATGTAGCATTATGGGTTTAATAATGAACATTAAGTGTTTAAGAGTTCCTAGCATAAATAATGAAAATACAGTAACAATTTCTGTTGCAAGAAGCTCATTTATCAGCTGTACTCTCCATTGTTAGTTCCTTATTTCAGGAATAGAACTAAAGACCTTCTGTAAGAGTAAGAAAGCTATGTCAAGAGTGGGGGAAAAAACCTTCAAGTTTTCCTTTTAATACAGTATTTGTATTTCCTATTGTTTAGCTGTTTCATTTCCAACAAAGAGTTTTTCAGCATACATTCTTGCCATGAACACTGTAATCATTTGGTGGCATCTGTCTTTGTATTTACATTTGCCTTAGAAGCCTGTTATCAGCCATTCCACCTCTCTGTGTATGGCTGACTGCAAATTCTCCTACACAGTAGGAAATATTAAACACATACCTCTTAAAGACTTGAATTGCATTGAAAGTAACAAGGCGATTATTATGTAGTGTTTATTGCATTTTAAACTCTTTAAAGATATCTAATTCTGGGCAGCACTGCATCCCTACATACAGTTGAAAGAAAATTCCATTCTGTTAACATCAGATTTACAGTATTCACACAATACACAAAAAGTCCTTTTCACTATCTTGAAAATCAAAAACACAACAGTAAGCTTAAAGATTACAGGCAACAGCATTCAAACATGGATGTGGGTAGAGAAAGGAGTACCTGGCATGAGTACCTGCTTAGTTTGACTGAATCCTTGATTTTTAATTTGGCTTTTCATGGGCCGCTCACAACACCAACGCTGTGTGAGGTATGGTAGTCAGCTGCAATAATTCATAAACCCTACACTTCCATCAATCCAATGCTACTGGCTCTCGAGTTACAGAACAAACTGCATTAGAATGCAAGGCAATAAAGCAAAAAAAACTAGAAACATCCTTGACAAAGAAATACTAGCAGTTTATATGAAAACAAAGTAGTCCAACATGTGCCTCAAATATTAAGTATTAAAGCAAAAGTTTCTGGTGATGTACCAACACAATATGGACTTAAATACAAAAACAGATCAACTTTTTTAAAAAAACGATAACAAAATCCCTAAAAAAATAAAAAAAGAATAATTAATTTTTCTATGGTGACTATATTACAAATATGTCCCAAAGAGGCACACTAATGGGGGCACGAGTCTGCTACAAAATAGCTGAGACAAAACAATGTACCTCAAAATGTTTTGCAGGACTACACTGTCTTTTCCTTCAGAAGGTGCTTTAGTATGTCTTCTTACTTGGCTTAGTTCCATCTTCATCTGTGCATACTTACGCTGCACTGTTAAACAGTAACAAAAAGCCCTAATCAAAGTTTGAAATAATGCACTTACCTCTGTCTGATCTGAGGTCATATCAGATCAGTTTTAATTGGACTGAGTGTCACCTTCAGATTTAATGTCTTCACTGGTCCCATTGACCTCATTCTTAGTATCACTCTCCTTCGAGTCTGTATTTGTGTCTTCACTCTGTTTTTCTCGACTACTGGACTTCATACTACTTTTTTTATCATCAGATCCCCTCTTTTCTGCCATGAAAGAAGACATTGACCATGGATTTCAAAGTAAAAACAAACATTGCACATGTGAGATATATATTGCATATAAAATGGGACAATTACTTTCTATAGCAGTAACAGTAATACTCAAAAAGTTACAGAAATAGGCTTCAGACTACCATGCTGGAATGGAGAGGGTACAAAAAAGGTCAAAGGGGACAGTACAGGGTGGGGAAAGGGGGAGAAAGGACAGACCTCCTAACAGAGGCAGCTACTCAGCTGTCTGTTGAAATTCACAAATTGGGGGTAAAGAGGCAGTCAAGAAGTTAGGCAAATGTGTAATTATGATGCATGGCTTCCTTACTTATCATGGGACTCTCTTTGTCCCCAAGTTTTAATTTATGTGTATGGCCTTCTTTGGTTTACAATTCTCATTAAATACGGTTCTTGAAAAGAGAATCAGAAAGTGTGATGGGACAATGCATCAGAGCATTATCAAATAACTCAATACTCACCAATTAAAAAAAAATTAGCAACCCCAACCAATCAAGTACTCAGGGAAACAAATAATATTAAGCATCACCAGCTTTGAAGGTGGGGGACACAGTGACAATCAAAATTAACTTCACTGTTGTCTGTACAGCATGTCACAGAAGCTGCATGCTTGTCAGCATTATTAATTTTCAATTTTATAAAAAAGACAGTCATTTATAATCCACTCATTAAAAAGGCTTGGGGAGACAGTTTGGAAGATAAATAAAAAGCGCTATTTTCCAAAAGGAACAAAGGAACAGCAAGATGGGACGGACCTCATAATTTCATCATGAATTGGAAAGCTGACTGAAGAGTTTGCTACACTGCTGAAAAACTCATCTTTTCCTCAATAATCTTCAAAGGAAGGAAGGAAGCCAGAAGTAAAAATATTTCCATGGGAAGAAAAACATTCAGTATTAGAGCTGCGTGCCTCATCTGTAAATTCAGTATTTGCAAATTTAATAAAAATATCAATTCTTTCTGTATTTTTTTCACACCATAACATTCAACCTTTGATCAGTAAAGACACTTTGTAGAGAAAAAAAAATCTGAAAAACCAACCTCTCAGATGTCATCATACAGAACAACATTCATGCTCTTTTTTTCTGATTATTCACTGCTATCCGGGCAATTAAATTAATATATATAAAATATATATCTCTCTCCCCAACACAGGAGCACACAGATCGAACACTCTGAAAAAGCTATTTTAAATAATGTTATCACCTAGACTAGCATAACACACTTTTCTATTGCAGAAGACAAAGCAGAAATTAAGCTTTAAAAGAGAACCAGCATCCCAGATTGTTTTAAAACAGACCACCAAAGGGAGGGGTAAAGCCCCCAAACAGAAATGAGGGCAACTGCCTACCAAACACTACTACTGAGGTTTCATCTGAAGCAGCAAATCCAGTGCACGGAGAAAGCACGCAGCGATCTCAAAAAGCTAAGTGAAGAACTAATAATTTTGTATCTGTCTGCCCTCGGTTTTGCAACTCCGCAGGTAGATTGCACTCTAACTAACCTTGTTAAAAAGTCTTCTTTTTGTGTCTTATAGGTATCTCCGATGCACACGTAGATCCACTGAGGAATAGTAGTCTTGTTTCCCCGCAGAGGACTAGTAGTCAGTCCAATAATCTTATCTTCTGTCCTATGTAGATATGGTAGATCTTAATAGCCCTATGGATGTGCAGTGTGCAGGGTTTTGTTCTGTCTTGTTTGTTTCTTGAATTTGGTCAGGAAGGATAATTTTGTTTAATGTTAAAAAACTACTATTAAACTGTGGTATGAAAGATGAAACTCTTCTAAAAAAATTTAATAATAAAATAGTTTTACCATAGCAAACCTCCAGTTTGCCAAGCAGAGCTGAGAAAGTGTATTCAACAAATAGTCCAATAACTGAACTTCCTTCAACTCCTGCAAGCAGTTAAGTGCCTCCACAGTATTTTCAATCAGTAAGATTTCTTTCTTTAAAAGCACATACAATTAGTCTGCTGTTGAAATTGTATTATTTCAGCTGTGATCTCTTAGGCATAATCACATAATATTGACTTTGCTTCCTGATTCAACACATGCACATTTTTCTGATTGAGTTCATGTGGACAACTGAGATAGATTTTGTGAGAACTCTTACCCAGATGTAAATGGTTTTACTGTTCAGAGAATGCAAAAATCAGTCAAACATAATACCCAGTATTACTGAGGGTTTGGGTGTTCTGACAGTATTTGCTAAGGTTCAATCACTAACATGAAAACACAATCACAAATATAATTCTTTTGATATAAATATATGAATCCAGATTAAGGAAGGTAAAGAGCCAAGTTAAAGTGGTCTGGTGGCAGGTTCCAGTATTAACCCTTCATAAAATGAAGGTACTTGCAGAAACAGATGTTTACTTTTAAAACAAACAAACAAACAAACAACCTACTTATTCCACCTACTCTGAAGTTGGTTTACTTGAACAGTAGTTGCGTTCTGCTGGTTTATATTAAGCTAATGCTCAGCTGATGTTTACGGATGGCAGGCTCCTTCCTTTAGCAAATACATCTCTGTTCTGAAACTTGAGTCCATTTTTACATATACTTTTTTCTTACAATCTTAAAGGTTGCTATATTCCACAGTATTTTAGTGGACAAGCCAGGACTTCTGAATTTTCAAAGTATGGCACTGATTTAATGTGTGACAGTAGGCAAGTCTTAGGCAACTGTGCCTTGCTTTTTCTCCTGTTAAGATTCATGTTTATAATGCAGTTTGAGATTTCAATATAAAAGGCACTACCATGGGCAGACACAGCCAGGCTTTTGCTGCTTACTTTTATAACTGGAGATCAACGGTGGATACAAAAACAATCAGAATCTGAAGCGAATATTCCCCGTGAAGCAGTAAATGTAGTAAGTCTTAACTTCTACATTACTTCTTTTTGTGCAAACAGGAAAGCAGGTAGCCAGCCACATGCTTCAGACATATGAATCTCTAAAGCTATCTATCTACTTAACTACCTACCTACAATGCCACACTGCAAACAGGATGTAATGGTGTTTACAGCTTCATCACAGAAATTCAGTGCTTGCTTGTTAAATAATATTGTTTGGGTTTTTTCCTTCCCACCCCCCCCCCCCCTTTTTTTTTTTAGTTAAAGGTTTTCCCAACAAAGGGAAAAACACAAACTTCTTCAGCATTACACTCCTGTTCTAAGGCCTATTTGTGTTTCTATAAATGTTATGATTACATAGTCCAAAAAAAGTAATTGATATTCCCAGGTGGAATTTTCATCACAGCTCAGAGCATCACCTCACTGTTCTCATTTCTGGAGGAAGAAAGTAGCAAGCAGCAAATAAAATGGCCAGCAAGGAAATCAGTCAAGTTAAAACTAAAAATATTGAGGTGCTGAAGAAAGTTCACTAGCTCCTCTATTTATGGAAGGATTAAGGAGAGAACTGAAATGCCATTAATCTCAAAACCAGACCGAATCTGAATAAATAACAACACAGTTATTTATACGCATAGATACACATAGAACACTGAATTGGACATTCTTGACTAAGTACCAGAAATCTGTTCATAAAGTAGGCAAAAAAGGCACAGTATCAGGTAGGAATAAACAAATGGACAGATATATGCTACAATACTGAATTTGAGTTTAAACACTATGCATGAGATCCACTGCCAATGAACAAGCAGCTTAAAACCACTGGCTTATAAAGGGCAAGGCAAAATTAGAGAAGAATCAATAATAAAGTGGTCCAAGGCAGTCAAGGCAAGAAAAATAACAAAAAACATTACCAACATTTTGGGAACTAACCTGCTGGATAAATATGGAAAAGTAGTGATAGGGCAAACAGGCCTACGCAACCCAGAAACATGCACATAGCACCTTTCATTCCAAAGAACCTCAAAAGTACCTTAGAAACATAACAGAATTGTTTAATCCATCACTGATGGCCAACTCTAATTATGAAGTGGAGTGGCTCTTTCAGACTGGACATTAGTCAGCACCCCAACAGAGCCAGCAGTTAGTATTACAGTCCTCCAGAAGTTTCAAAATACTTTTAAAGGAGGAAATTGAAAAATAACAGTGAATTAATATTTTTCCACAGAATGTGAATCTGTAGCGTTCTCTCCGTAACTCTTTGATCCCGTTTAAAGCTTCTGAACACCAGCCTTTGATGAAGCAGTGAGTCACCAGCATGTACTGCTACAAAAGCGTTCCAAGGACCAAGACAGATTCTCTAACTCACTACATTTAAAAAAGAAAAACAAAACAAAAGAAACGAGTGTGGGGGAAGAGCAGGAGACTGGGGAGAGGGCATGAAATTATAATTTAGAGCATTACAGAAATTCTGTAAGATTTATCTTGGACTGCATTCATAGATTAGAAAAAAACCTTACAAAGCACTGTTAAAGGAAAATAAAGGAAACATGATAGTGTAGAGAAGTAATAGATGCTACAGGTGAAAAATCAGCTACCAATCTCCCACAAAACATGTACCAGCAAAGGGTAATTACAGAACTATCTGCTAACAGTAGGAATAGAAGATATTCACTCTTATGAAAATCTGATTACAGGCTTATGTCTTTCTAAAGGTAGACAGGTCTTAAAATACACAAAAATCCTCGCACACTTGATTTGCAGACAAAGTTGTAAGCTTTTAATAACCACTGTAAAAGATAAGAAGTGGACGCTGGGGTGTACGCATGCATGCATGTGCATTAACAATAACTGGAACGAACAAAACGCTTCAAATTAGTTGAACAGCAACGTATACAGTTTATAAAAACATTTTATTTGATGTCACTCACTGAAAGACTAAGAGCTTTTCAAACTTTAGGGAAAGTTTTTTTAACTTGATACGAACTCAAGTCTTCACACAAACATACCTTTTTCTTTTGACTTTCTGTCTTGTTCTCTCTCTCTGCTTTTGCTTCTGTGCTTGTAGGATTTCCGATCCCGGCTTTTCGATCGCCTCCTGTCCCTACTGCGAGACCTATGTTTTCTTTCTGATCTATCATGACTTCTGCTTCTTCTTCGGTCACGACTCCTTAACATTCAGAGAAAATTTCAAAAATGTAAGTGTCAGCTGGCATTTTCTAACTCAGAAGATAAAACAGAATATCAGTAGCACTTTAATAAATAATACAAGACCTGGCTTCACATTGCAACATTCATTTACACAAACAGTCAACCATACAGCTTAAAAATATCCACTGCTATGAATTAACAACCAACTTAAGGAAAAAACAAAACAAGATCCTGTTCTTTGGGAACATTTGTCTACTCAGAGCTCCCTCAAAAGACCACTTTCACCATAATGGTGTCATCTACTTCCAAAAATGGAGAGAAAACACTGAACATGCATCAAAAACTGTTCATCCTTAAAACCAATCAAGTATAGCTTCACTGTTCTTATGTCTAAGTGAAGACAACAAATCAGTGATGTGACCCAGGCTGGCAGATTAAGTCCCTGCAAGATTTTTACATTTTGGAAAGTTACATGAAAATACTTAAGACACACACATACCTGCTTCGCCTTCTTTCTCTGCTTCTTGATCTTTTGTGGTCTCGTGAACGGCTGCATCTCCTGTCAGATGTTCTGCTTGAATGTCTGCTCCGTGAACGACTCCTTTTACGTCTCTCTCTATCACGAGCCCTCTCTTTTTCCTTTTCTTCTTCTTCACGTCGTCTCTTCCTTTCCCGCTCTTCTCTTTCCCGTTCCCTCTCTTTCTCTCTCTCTTCTCGTTCTTGTTTCTCTTTTTTTAACCTTTCATCACGGTCAGGTTCTTCTGTTCTTTTTCGTAACTTTTCCTTAAAAGAGTTCACAGAAAGAAATGAAGATCACTCAAATCATTCAATATAACTTAGCGTATATATTCTGAGGATGTAGAAGTTTAAGCTTTCAAAATATTTCAGGGGTTTTTTTCCAAACAAAAGACAACCTACATAGAAGCACTTTCTAAAATCCCTGAAATGGAAATCCTTTGTCTTGCAGAACTTGCTTGTCACTCTTACAAGAACAAAGGCCACATTACAGTTCTTTATAAATGCCACAAAAAATTCCCACCTGAATTTACATCTTTGCTTACATCTAGCATAATCACATATGCCAAAGAATGTTAGTGCAAGCACAATGCTCAATATGCAGTGGGATTCAATTATGTACCATCTTTGAAGTATTTCACCCACTTGAGAAAGTCCACCGGACTTTACCATAGGAAGCTTCGAAGCAATTTTTTATGTTCAACAACTGAAGACATGCTTACTTTCAAATCTTCTACAGTAGCTTTTATTTTGGCATAACCCATGTGCTGCTTTCCCATCAAGTGGTCATCTACCCTGGACTGTGCGTCTCCTACAATTAAAAAGGCTCCACAAACTTCACAAACTTCCATTTGCTTTTCTTGGGCTGCAAAGCTCTCAATTGTCTGCAAAAGAAAAATATTCAATAAACCAAAAGAAAAATTCTAGCCAGAAGCCAGTGAAGAGGTTCAGAACTTTACTGTTACTGTTGTAAAATCCTAGGCACTAGTGAAAGCTGAAAATCCTAACTGCATGTTTTGTCTTCAGAGCACTGCACCTACTAGGATGAACAGGGCAAAACTACGCTACATATACCCATTTCATGTAAGCCACAAGGGAAGAGTCAACTCGAAAACGCACAAAACAAACCTTATTCCTCACTGCAAAGGATTAAGGTGTACACACACATATCTGCAGCTTCCTTGCAATCTCAGGATTAAGGAAAATAAAAATCAGTTTTCTCTTAAGATGATTTCTTTGGCATCAACTGTAACATCTGGAGCTGCAGAATAACCATGTATGTCTCAAGCAATGAAAAGGTTAGAATATCCCATGAAGAAATACAAAAAGGAATGCTGGGCTTCTATTTAAAAGGATGGTGGCGAAATTAATTCACTGTTTCAAAAGACAGCAAGAAATACACTGCAATTCCAATATAAACCCAAGTGATTATTGCTGTGCAATATTCATGAATCATATAGTATAGACACAAACACTACTGCTGCAACACTTGATGACTTAACTTGCTACTTAACACATTACCTTTGGATTCTGTAGCTCTCCAAGTCAGACAGATACCTGTCTCTAGTCTCTGCCCTAACACAACGGCTTTCTGTAACAGCCCGAATGGTAATTCAGTGAAATAATATCGCAGAGGCTACTCAGCAAAGTTCAACTGGGACCTGAACTACAGTAAGATTCAAGCTTATCTCCAGGACTGCTGTGTAAATAATTTCGTAATTTGCATGCATGAAACCTGCTCTCAAGGTAGCATGCTAAATCAACACACTGGATTAACACATTTAAATGTCATGTTATTGTCTAATAAACTCTGCACAGAACTTGCATGCCTTCAGTGTAAGGACAAGGTTACTAAAAAAGTACTGTTGTACCTAATTTTTGAAGTAAGTCTGACAGAACTACAAAGACATTACTTACGGAAGTTGTAGACCTCAGCAATTCTCTCTCTTCCTTTAACTGTTCAACCAGTTTCATCATTCCTTGTGCTTCTTCCACCTTCCCTTCTGAACCTAATTCTTCGATCTAAAGGATAACAAAAAAGTTCAACTATAATTTTTAATCAAGTAACAAAAGTATGAGAACTCTCTTATAGGGGGTTAAAAAAGCTCACCTGTTGTAGAAGTACATCAATTTTGTCAGTTAACACCTGAATCTTCTCTTCATTTTTACCGGTAGGTCCCGCTCCCTGACAAACAGGATAAGTGAGGGTTTTTTTGTTTTGTTTTAGTCAAAATAACTTTAAAACACGACTGTCTACTCATATTCCAGAGGCACTTCAGGAACAACCTCCACCTGCCTCTTCTCCCATTAAGACCTAGTAATAGTAGTCTAGTCTAAAATCAAACACTCCTCAACACAGCTTACTCCACTCTTGCTGAGCGAAGCAAGTTCCAGTCACACTCATTCCTTCTAAATCAACAAAAACATTCAAGGCCCTGGACCATAAAAGGTAAGACATCTGAATTCAAAGTCCTAAATTTAAACTCTGAAACTGCCACGCAGCTATTACGTATCTTTGCAGACACTTAAGTATGACTTAGAAGTTCCATGGGTTCTGAAATTTAACTTCTAAGCATAAATGCAAAAAGAATCTCACTTAATCCAAAATATACTTTTCAGTAATGTAAGCTGCCAGCACAGACTTACATCTGCTTCCCTTACAACCTTTGCTCTACTCCACAGCCAGTAAGCTCTCTTGACTGAAGATACTCTCCACAGCTCCTCCTGAAGCAACTGGACCTTGCACAGAACAACTAATTGGGGCAGCAAAAAGGAGCAAGGCTACCCTGGCAGACACGAAACTCCCAGAGCACAGGCCAGTCACTGCTCCAAATCAATCAGGGAAGAAAAAAAACAAATGGGGGAAGCATGTAAATTTTTTCTCCCAGTCACTTTAAGCCTTTCATTAACAGCTGTCCAGTATGCAGCTTGGAACTGAGAAAATCGCACAGGAGTAAGTATTTCTCCAACTTTCGTGACTCCATCACTGCATGCCAATGGTGGTGCTGAAGCAGACAGAGGCTACTGCCTACAGGTGGCAGCTGACAGGGGGATTTAGCTCCATCAGCTGCTGAAAGACCCAGCACTTGCCTATTCCAGTAATATCACTATGATATAGCTTACCAGTGGAGGGAAGGAGGAATACGCAACTAAGGGAGAGAGGGTAAACTGAGGTTAACAGGGTAAAGACAACACTTGCCAGGATTAATGTGCCGGGGCACAGAACAGATACCGATTCTGAGGAAAGAGAGATGAGGAGAAGAGGGAGGGACTCTTGCTGACTGTGGAGCCACTTGGCTTGTTCATTAGGGCTAGATGCAATCTGCTGGCTAACAGATGAAGAGACTTATCTAATGGAAATCTTCTGGAAAACAATATATTTCACCCAAAGAGATAAAATAAAGAGAACATGATCACACTATCTAGAGGAAAAATTGCCTCAATGATTCCTCCAGACTCACCCCAGAAGACTGTTGATTCTGTGACAGTGCCAAACGAGCATGGCCTCTTCGAATCCTGCGTTCTACCTCTGCAAGCAAGCTTTGTAAGTAGCGTAAGAAGTCTCTTTCATAGCCCACTTTCATAAAACGAGAGCTCTTTTCATACCTGGTAAAATATTTTAAAAATCAAAGCTTACTTCACTCCATAATATATGAAAAGTAAATAACAAAACTTGCAATGTTATAAATTATTGCTCAAGCTAAGACAATATTATACATTTAAATAAATGTTTATGTAAATTAAAAAGCAGTTATTTCTTATGGTTGGGTTCCTTTTAAAAAATTCAAGCATATGAGAAACACTATTTGCATTAACATATCAACAAACATACTTACTGTTTACGCAGATTTTCATCATGAATTTTTTCACAAGGACCTAAAAAGACCACACAAAAATTTAAGCTTGCATTCTTGAATGCTGTGTTCACACTCCATCAGCATTTGTTTGTTCACCAGGATAGAACAGAGCTATAAACACTTTGCAGGGAGTTTTATGCCTGCCTTTCTGCTTCCTTTGCTTGGAGTTTGAAAGACACATTAAAGAAAAATAATGTTCGTATGGTTTAGTAAGTATAAAACCAAAGGAGATTCTGAACGACATATGAAGTCTTCATATAAAATAGAATCTCCAGATCAAGTTCTACATCAGTAAAACTACACAAACAAAACACCTGGGGACCTTAAACAAAAATAACAACAAAAAAACCCCAGGAATGAAGGGTAATTTCAGCAAGCACTAAGTTCCAGACAGTGTTCTTTGTAATAAAGAACTGTCTATTTAAAGTGTTGATCTTCAGAGTAAAATTAGGAGGTATGTGGCCCGAGCTCATGAAGGCAGTCACGTTAAAATTCCCCACCTTCCCCAGCCTATCAAACTCTTCAATGAACTTGGAAATCAATGCTAAGACAAGAAGACTGTTTTTCCTAGTTACTGTCTCCAAACTGCATCTTGTCTCATACCATCGCTTGAAAGTTACTAGTAATTTAGAGATGGCCTTCAGTAATAACTATTACAGTAAATGAATCTCTAAGGTAAAGAAGCTCAAAAATGTATACTCACACAAAAATAAGTTAAAACCCTGTCCAGGTAGAATAAACCAAACTCCTTCAGGAGGAGAAAACCACCCCACACCCAATTATTTAGCTTACACTATAAGAAAAAAAAAAAACCACACACACAAAAAAACCAACTAAGGTTTTTCACTTAGAGGAAGAAGGATCTGGAATAAGTATTGCTCTTAACACACTGTATCATTGGCAGTCCTTAAAAAAAAAGAGCCTATATTCAAGTGTTTTGACAGAGCACTAAACAATTAAAATGTGGTCTGCAAACCACAATCAATTGTGATTGCATACAAGTGAATAAAATAACAACACTTATAGACTTACCTAAATCAGAACGGGTATTTGTAAATAATTCAGCTGGGCAAAAGCCACAAAGGTAGTATTTACAAACCTGACAGAGGAAAAAAAAAGAAACAGGCATAATTTTTTTCCTCATGAATTGGCAATTTTAGGTATTCACTTCTATTTGCTAAAGTACAGTAAAATACAGGTAAAAGCCCTCTTTGTACACTGCAAAATTTCTTAAAATTTTACACACGTACATCCTCTTTGTGTGACTTTGTAGCAGTAAGTGCTACAAGGTGTATCGTACGACAAAACACCAAAAATCTTACTTTCCATTGCATTAATGGATTTTCCTAATTTTACTGCTAGATATTTAAGATTACAGGAAAGCATCACCTATTTGTAAGTATAATATAGAATTTTATATTTCCAAAGGAATTAACTCAGATTGGACTATTAAAAAAATTACTTTCAAATTCCTTAGCTGTGAAAGCCTTCAAAGGGTGAGAATGTCTGCCATGGAAGCACGAAAGCAAGTTCCTCTCAGCTTGTTCATAACAACTTTGTGTTCAGCCTCTAAGCCTCTCTGCCTTGCAGAATAGGAGCCATCAGGATTCAAACACAAGATACAGCCTCAAGGATTCTCATGTCAATCAAAAGAATTACGAACACACAGGATAACTATCCAAAAGCTTCCCCATTCTGATGCTTTTAGAAGTCCCCACTTTAAGAACGATACGCAAAGAGACATTGCGTACCTCTGAAGGCAGACACAGAAGACATTCATTTTAACCTGGTTTCCTGCCAACTAAAGAAGGGTTTGTTTTGTTTCCCCATAGCCTATTTTTTTTAACATCAGCAAGTCAGGATCTTTTTTGATAACAGAAAAATACCACCAGGAGCTTAGAAAAAACCCAAGCTGCTAGTCTAGCCAGTAAGTACTTAACATATAACAGGATAAAACCAGCTTTTGTTACAAAGATTATTTAGTCTCACCCATGAGCTAGCTTAGCTACTCAAGTTGGCCAGTTCCTGAAGTTCATACACAGAAATGTCTCCTGTCTATCCACTAGAACAGCCAAAAAGATAAAATCAGAAATACTTTCATCCCAAACTTCATAAGCAATCTTAAATAATTAATTATTCAATAGACCCCTCCCCTAAACATGACTGCCATTAACTAACTTAAGCGTCAATCCAAAACCAGCCTGGACATTCTGCTAACATCTCTTTTATGTTACACCAGTTTCTAATATCTGTCAAATCTAGTAATTGCTACTGAGTATTACAACCTAGTTCTAATACTCTCCATATACTGTGGATAAAGATTTGCAACCTATTATTTCCAAAAATACCTTTTGAAGTATTTTAACCAACAGAGGTGAGGAGACCCAAAACATACCCCAAATCAATGCCTGTGACACTAATTGATCAAATTAGATCAGCCTGATTTATTTTTCCACGCCAACTGCCAGACTGCAAATCAGACTACAGAAGTCAGAATTGGACTGCCTGCTTTACAGATTACACAGAAAAACAATCCAGCTTTCTACTAACAAGCCATGGACATGAAAAACAAAACAAAATAAGTTTTATTATATAATCTGAATACTTCTCCCAGGTTAGAACACTGTGGCACCTATCTGAAGCAACTTATCAAGAATAGTTAAGAAAACACCACACAAAATCATTTTTTTTTTCTTCTCAGGAAGCAAGGAGAAAGTCAGTGGACAAAATCTGGTTTCAGAATCTGCTCTCTTCTCCGAAAGCTACAATATCCCTTGTTTTGATATCAAGTTGTTTCAAGAGAACAGTTTCTGGGATGAACTCCTGTACTAGTCAATAGAAATATAATTTCTCTCTACGTTCTCCTTCTACACCTCACATCCAAGTATTAGGGTCAGTGAAAAGGCACTTGCCCCTAAAAATTTCAGGGATGGATTTGACAATTTCTAAGAAGTAGAGAGCACAATAATAACGGTCTGACCTTATTATGCTGTAAAAAGTGTTGTAGCACATCTTCTATCACCTCAAAACAGTTTTGAAACAAGTAGCAACAAAAGGAGCACAGGAAAAGTTACTAGAGGCAGAAGTATGATGAAGGCAAAAAAAAAAACCCACAATATCAAAACAATTAAAATAATTTTATGAAGCAGCACTGCTAGGAAAAGCCACCTCTTATTAACTGATGGTTACAGCCAAAAACTGTAGTAACCAATATCAAAATACGCAGCTTAAACACGTGTCCACACATTGTGTTAATTATATATAAAAACCCCAACAACAAAACCCACACACACCGAGAAGCTGTGGTAATTTTCTCCTAACTAGCTCTGGATACTATGGTACCCAGTGAATTCCTTGACAGTCTCTTTAAGAGGCAGCCTGCACAGAAACACTTAGAGTGGTTCAGACTAGTGCATCTGCAGCAATTTGCTCCCTCTCTCATATCTATTTCATTATGGTCTTCAACTGATTTTGCTTCAACAGAAAAACATTACATGAGAGAATCTTGCAACTATCTTGAAAGGTATCATTCTGGATTAGCTTCACAGTGTGGCACATCTGCCATGACAAGCTGTAGATGCCAGCCCGCTGCACTTACAGTCTTAAGTAATCAATGATGAGTAAGAACAGAAAAGGCCAAGATATAGCTGAAGCACTCCAGAGTCATTAAAGGACTGAAACAGAGGTGATATGCTTCAAGTGGCATTACTCGTCCGCGGCTTAGAATGCTGTGCACTTAGCACAAGTCAGAAGCAATACAGAAATACATATTTGCAGAAACAGAGCAACAAGCAATTTAATATGGATATTTACCTATGCAGGTAACAAGCACCAGTTCTTTTTTGCCAAATTATTCTGATCACTCTGGTACCAAGAAGGTGGAACAGAGAGGAGCATTACTGTCACACTACTGCAGCGGGATTAGCCTCAGCTTGTGTCTCAAAGCCCTCAGGTCTCACATTTCGATAAGACACTAGAACAAATATAGACAGACAGTTCGAACTTTCCACCTTTTCATCTCAAATTCACTAATCCTTGAAATCTCTTGGAGGTGGGAAAGTACTACCCTTCACCTCAAAGGTGACTAAGCTGACAGCAAGAATGGCTCTTCCAGAGTTTGTAAACCGAATCAAAGCTTTCTTATATAAACTATTGACAGCTCTACATCATTAGTACTTCTACATTAACATGCTCCTCTTCAAGAAATTATTTACTGATGGAGAGGTACCAGCATAACTGTAAGAAACAATTACGTAAGGAAATTCCTTTAGGCAGAAAGGCTGAGAACAAAATCCAGCAGGTTGTGGCGTACACATCAAAAACCACAAAATTCCTTCATATAGATGAGTTCTTTGAAACCATTAAAGTTCACATGCACCAGACATTTTATGAGCAATGTCCACCTACCCAAAACCAAACAAACACGAGCCCTTCTCCCAGACCCCACTCTTAGAGACAACCTTCCATTACTAATATTCTTCCAAAATAAAAACCACTGAAGCCCTCCACCCCTCATCCCCTGGAGGATTAAATTCTGAGGTTCTATCTAGATGCAAACCAACTTAGGTAACATATCATAAATAGCTAATACCATCAAATTGTATTTTAAATACTGAACGTACATTTTGAGAAGCTGCACTCCTACCAGAGAAAACTGCTCACAGTCATTTGTCCATAACAGCTCTCCACCTCTCCTCACTTTCTGAAAACACTCAATTTACCTTGAAGGAAACATCACAATTTCAAAGCCTTATACGAAGCATGGGTAGTCAATGCTGGGCTGTCTTGTGTTACAGAACAGCCTCAGAACGCTCACGCAATTGCTGTTTCCACATGAACTTGTTTTGTATAGATAGCATATTAAAGCAAGAATGTGTGAATCAATAAAGTTCTGTTCCAGAAATATACTTTGTCTATTGATATGACAGTAAGCAGAAAGGCTAAAATATATGATACTAATAATTTCCTCCTGCATACAAAACAGAAAGCCTTTATGTCAAAACTAGAATTGATTATCCAAGGACATTCTGCAATACTGAAACATACAGCAACTGGGATTTCAATTTTTTAAGATTAAAGGCTTTAATCATGTCAAAGTTTTAAAGCAAGAGCTTAAGCTCTACAAAAGGCTTTACAATACATGATCAACGTGTTTCATTAGTACTGCAAATAAATGCTCAGCTATCACACATTCTGCTTCTACACCTCCAAAACAACCTACTGCTATCTTGTATTTCATTACATCTTCCACATAGTTTTTGATACCCACCTAGATGCAATTTACAAATGATAAAGAAAATAGATATGAACTTGTTTTGATAACCTTCCATATCTAAAACTAATGAAATGTGACACAAAATCCTAAACTTCTGCATGAGTCCAACACGCTTACACTGAAAAGGCTACATGTTGATATATGTCTCATTTTACAGGAAATCACATTAGCATATGTATTTCATCTGAAAAGCACAACAGCAGTCAAGCAGATGAATTAATGTTATTATTTAAACCTTATCTGCATTTCCCATCTTTTAAAACACGTCAGCATTGCAAATTTAATATTTAGGTGATGTAGGAAGTCAAACTGAAACACATCTTTATGTTTTAACAGCTGTAAATTTTTTTTATTAACTCATCAGTTGACTACAGGAACCTACGAAAACATTCCTTTCAGAGCGGTTGCTTTTAGTTACGGTCCTATAAACTTCATAAATAAAAGCAGGAGCAAAGCAAACAGCAGCAGTTCCTGCAAGGCTGAAGGCTCCTGCAAGGCTGAAGGCTCAAGCCCAAGCCTGTAAATTTCCTGCTGGCCTTAAGACACACAACAGCTCTTCACTTTCTACATTGTCAAGGGAGAGTGGGATGAAGAGACAAGGCCCCCTTTCCGAAATAATGAAACTGAACAACAGCTCAAGAGACAGATTCCTATGGTTACAGTCATCCTCTTCAGCCTAAAATTTAAAAATGTGCTCACTTCAAGACAAAGAAAATAAACTGAAATTTAATTAAACACAATGAGGAACACCTCCCCCCCCAGTGTTTCTGACCTTAAGAAATAAACCAAAACAATCCCCTTATCTATTCTACCTGGAC